TTTCACCATGGGTGAATGAGAAACGTCCTCTCGATTCCTTGTATGTCTGGTGCATGTGAAGAATTGACATTAAAGCTGACTTTGACTTTGACTTTGACTTAATTTGATCAAATGATACAAACCAAACGATTGCTTTCTACTAGCCTAGAGCAAAGGTAGGGGCATCCAACTAACTGTAAGTTAAGTTAGGTTAAGTTGGGGTTGGCTGGCTGACTGTGGGTCTGGCATTGCCATGTTGTTGGCTGATGGTGTGATTTGTAAACGAGCTAGTTAGTAACATGGAGTGAGGATGATGCTCACTGAATGCAGTTCACTTAATGGCCACTGGTGTCACTATCAACAACGGTTCTGAAAGTGACATAAAGAACCTTTAAAATAAGTAAACTTGCATCTGCTTTATATTCCTGTGGGATCCAGATGTGGTCTTTGCATGTTTGACACAAAAATTTGATCTGGATTGCAGGGTGCAGTGCAATGTGAATATGAAGACCATCGTTCCACCAGAGGACTCGGCTTTAAGCTGCAGTGTCAACAAGCATCCATCCTGCTAACATGTCCTCGAGCGAGACAAGGCTGTTTTGTGTCTGACCCAGTGCTCTGACCTAAAGGAGGAGGGAGAAAAGTGAAAAGAGAATTCTCCTCCAGGGATCAATAAAGCATTACATTACATTAAAATCAAGTTTTGATCCCAGATGCAGCTTTAGATGGCTCTAGGATCTTCCCTCCACAGGGTGGCATGGTTTCTCTACAGCACACAAACAGTGGCTTTGAAACAGACTTGATGATTGACGCTGGCAGCTGGTGGATCCCGATGCCAGACAGTGATTCCCGGTGGCTGATGCACACGGTCAGTCTTTGCTACCAGATGATTATCATCAAAGGGAAAGTGCAGATTGTGGAGGGAGGTGAGGTACCAGGAGGGAGGTTTTGTCACATGAGTTGTCAGGGGCCATAAAGGCAGATGGCGAGCAGAGCCGGGGAGGGACACAGTTGTGTAAGTGGTGAAACAAATGGTCCATGTGCAGATATGCCTGGGCTGACTGTGGCGGTCCTTCACTATCACTATTGTTGTAGCTGCATTGTGAGCATGTGTGTGTTTGTGTGTGAGTATGAGTGCTCCAAAGAGGATGAGGAAACATATGACATGTCTCACACTAAGGTTGTTGCTGCCATGTCGATTAGCTGACACCCTAAATGAAAAAAATAGGTCATCATTTTGGGAAATAAGCGTATTTTCTTTCTTACCTAGAGTTAGATATGAAGATTGATACCAATATTATATTAGTCCAGTAAATACACAGCTACAACCAGCAGCTGGTT